GCCTTCCATTGTGCCATTTCAGGGTGACAGGTGGGTGCAGGAATGACAACGACTTGTAAGAGTGACCATCCCTGGTAAACTGGCTTCTTCCCAGAATGTGCTTTCTTGCAGCCCAGAGGGGCAGTCCAGAGCTGACTGTAGGGGCCTCAAACTGGAGATGTGCTGATTTGCTTTCTGCTTTATTGACTTGATTAGACTGGGATGTGAGGGGCTCATCCAGTGTTTTCCCTGCCCTTCAGTAACTGTGGTGATATGGGACTATTTTGAGAAGCTTAGAAGTCCAGACTGAGCATATAATGCGATAACCATTATTTCCTCATCATCCATATCTGGAATTAGCTCCCATATGCCCCTAGAGAAAGGTTACCTATACCTGTAGCTCTGCATTTTCCTGGAAATTAAGGTTTCCAGATGGCTCTGGCAATTAACAAAAGCAAAGGTGCATTGTGCACACTATTGTGATAAAGTGTCTTTGTATGCACCAAGATGAATTTGCCTTCTAGAATGTTTGGAGATTTTAAAGTGATAAAATTCACCGCCAGGTAGAGTCTAATTAGTGGCCTAACTGACTCTGTACCTTTTTTTCTCAGGAATTTTACCCACACTGTCTGCTTTTTCCCCCACCAAAAGGACTATCAGTGTCCTATGCTTTCTCCTGAGTTTTGGTAGGATAAGACAGTCTGTGGCCCAATATATACCCATGGTGATCTCAGGGAAATTTTTAAATCACTATTTGGGATGGTCTGGACCTTGGTTCATTGACACAGAGTCAGAGGAAAGGGTTCGTTAAAATGTGATTCTTCAAACTGTATATTGTCTCTCTGGGAAGAAAAGCATGATCCATGATGAATAAACAGAGTGACTTACAACTTGTGTGCCGCTTACTTCTTGCCTTTTTAGTTTTGTGAGATCAAATTCAGTACTGTTCAGTTTATCTTTGATACTGGTCTGGATAGGGGGCAGGATTGCTGTTAAAAGCAGTAAAGAGGCCCACATCTTCCTAGGCTCATGCCAAGAGAAGGAAAATTGCATTTTTCTCAAAATGTCCTATGCCATTCTATAATTTGGGTTCTCCTTAAAACATACACTTATCTGTGCCATAAAGTCATAATTATTCTTAATTTTTTAAAAAAAATATCATTATGAGTAATGTAGCTGGAATTTAACTTTAGGTAAATTAAATAGAAAAGCCTAATGTTGTAGAGGATAAGTTGAAATCTTATGTATAAATTCTTAGAAATGTAAGTACTAAGTTTATAATTGTTTGTTTGTTTGTTTGTAGTACTGGGAACTGAACCTAAGGCTTTTCACACATAAGGCAAGCACTCTTCCACTGAGCTACATCCATACTCTTCTAAATTTTATTTTTGAGACAAGATTTTCTAGATTACACAGGTTGTCATTAAACTTGTGATC